TATTTTGACAATATTTGCTCCATAGACACTCATGTCTCTTCTACCCTTCCCATTTTCCTTTAATCTCTTCTGCAGAGTTACTAATCATATTTCACCACCTTCAATGTTTTTTTCTGTGACATCTGAGAATGAAATATACATTTTCTAGCATGTAAAATCAATATCATGAAATATCAAATGACACATTTACTTTGCTTTTTCTGTGTTTCTTTTCACCCCTTTAATTTTGACAATATCATGTGTTTCATACATCTAACATCTGAGAACGAATTAAAATCTGGTTTGTAAAAACCAACCCCTAATTTGGAGGAGACAAGACAGGGACACTAATTCAGGGGTCTTTAGGAGTCAACAAATTATTTTAATCAAAAAAGGATGTCGGTATCATGACAAATAGCTCACCTCAGCAAGATCTTGTGTAGCACTGTTGTCATCTTGACTTGATCTCCCCATTTCTAATTCAAGTTGTAGTTCCGGACTTGTTATTTGCTGTAACCCCGTACTCTGCCCACTATATCTTCCACTCTGTTGTTGCTGTTGTTCCATACAGCTGGACAATTCCTTGCAATTTTTATCTTTGGGTTCATCCTCTGACTGTCGTCCTTGACTCGACTTGGAGGAGGCCGATGAGCTGTCATCATGTTTCCGCCGCTTGGGGTGAGGCGCTTCCTCTCTCAGCCCCTCGTTATGGGATCTTTTACTCTCACTGGAAGGGGGGGCTTCATCCGGGACGGCAAGACCTTTGATTCTTAGACACTCAGCAGCTTTAATTAATCTGGCAAGGTCATTTTGCGCTACATTTGCCTCGCCCGCATACATGTAATTGAGAAGCGCTTCAAGGTCGTCATGAAGAATATCCTTAAGTACTATTATGGGATGTTTACATGTGGTTTGCTTAAACATTTCCTCAAAATATTCACTACACACTGAAAGCACCAACTTATGTACTGGGAAAAATTTACCATTGCATGCTAACGTTACATCACTGTAAAGTTCCTGAAACAAAGAGAAGAATTTTGTTAACTTCTATTTGACTAAGTTACCCTACTAAATTGTTCCTAAAAACCTGAATTTAAGATTTTCTACTGTCTCAAAGTTGTTTTCACATGTACATTTCTAGGCCAAATATATATCATTTCTTTCTCATCATACATTTATATTCAAATAAAGTAAACTCTCATCCCAATTCTTACCTTCCTATGAAGTGTAGATAAAATATGGAAAAATGTAGATCGATGATTATTCCAACGCAGTGAGAGTATACCCTCCTCCATCTCTAGTGTATTTCTGCAAAAGTTGCAACAAATTTTAATAATCAAAAATGACTAAATAAAGATGGAACTGAGACAAATACTAAGCTAGGTTCTCATAATAATACTTTCATTATAACACAAATCTACAACTATAAGTAGGGAATATTAACCCAATAATAACGGGTGTCCCACATATGTGACACCTGAAAAAATAAACATTGCCAGGCGTCCCGCCGGTGTAACACTGTATTGGGGCTCGCACTCTGATGCAGCAGCGAGCGCAGCCAGTGGGCGGACAGACTCCGGGGAAACTCCGCCCACCAATTTTGTAGCCGCCCGGAATCTTTTATTTTTGGCTTCAAAATATACTGGCGTGAATGGGTTAACAGAAAATTTTAATTTATCTTATCCACTTGAGAATTTGCCATAGTGGCATTGCAAATTCCAAATAATTTTACTGATACCAGGGAACACTGTTAATATCAAACTTTAAAAAAGATCACCCAAAACAGAATGCGTAACAAGTCTTTTACATTAATATACAGTCTTACTGCTAACACAGCACATCAATTAAGACCTTCAACAATAATTTCAGCAATTAATAATTAAGTAATTTCCTTGAAGACAGCAAAAATAGATCAAATCTGATTTTTAATAAAGGAACCATTAGTATTTTTTCAGGCTAAAATTTCTTATTTTGTTTTTTTGCATTATTTTTTACATTATCTTTCAGCCTTTAACTCCTCGGTGATGGTTATGGTTACAGACGTCATGACATAACAGCCTATAACATCTAAACACATCATGCCTTGCAGCAGGTGGGCTGGCTGTATACAGCTTACTCCAAATCACACCACCATGTTTCATATCCTTTGAATAATAAACAATGAAGTTATTAAAAAATCTAAATAATTTATGTATCTCACTTATCCATTGACTGAACTTGTTGAAAAAGATACCACATATACTCTATAGCCATACCTAAATTTGTAACAATTCGGATTTTGAAATTTCCTCTTAGTTTAGTGGAAAAAAATTTGTTTGTTGTTCAAAATATAAAATATGATATATGGACTTTTATCACCTGAAATGAAAATCAGCATCATTGCTAAATCGCAAATTCATTCAGCTTTCAAATGATCCAAACCCCATTAGAATTGCCCAAGTAGTTATGGAGAAACAAAAAAGAATGTTGACAAAGATGTAGTTTTGAGATATCAGGCTTAGACATTGGTGATACTTTTTCCTCCATTTTCTTTTCTTTTCCTCTTTCCTTCCTTATTTCCTTCTTTCTTTCTTTCTTTCTTTCTTTCTTTCTTTCTTTCTTTCTTTCTTTCTTTCTTTCTTTCTTTCTTTCTTTCTTTCTTTCTTTCTTTCTTTAGAAATCTGATCTCTGTATCAATCTTGATGCATTCTATGGCATTCAGATGGTATTCTGAGGGTGTAGCTGGTACCTGGTCCTCTCCTTTTCCAAGGTACTAATGGCAGTAACGGCAGATGAGTGTAGAAGTACCGCGTGTCAGTACCTCGTGAGGCATTTCATTTGAATAAACAACTGCTGCAGCTGTGATTGAGATGTATTTTTCATCATATTATGTTTATTAGTTACAGGAATAACATCTATCATTCGTCGTGTCCACTTAGTGTGTATGAGGGCACATCAGGGGTACGTCTATGGGATGGTGTCGTGGACGCAGCAAATGAGCAGCCTCTCCCTCTGACTCTCTCGTGGTGACTGCCCACCTTGTCTCTTAGTCATGGCTATCAGCTAATTCAGGAGGCAGAAATGCCAGCTAGATACCAGAGAATACCAAAATAAATTGAAAAAAATAAAAAACAAATTTGTTGAGTATATTTGCATGAATGAAACAAAGTAAACATCAGAGCCAGAGGTGGGCTGGGGGATCAGAGATATAGTCATAACCCCTTTATCTTTATGCATTTAGCAGAAATACTATGTCATCGGGTTGCCAAATCCTACTAGATTACAGATTTTTCTTTTAAATTTGGGTATTTTTGAAAATATTCATAAAAAAATTCAGTGCAACAGCCCCCTTAAATATTTTCATTAAGTCTATGAAATTTTCCCCAAATTTTGCCTGTTTTTGTATAATTTTAATGTAGCTTTATAGGTCTAATAATTTTTTTCCTGTGTCAAAAGAAAAATTGCATGTAGGTTTCCCTCAGCATACTTGATCTAGTTTTTTTTCCAGTATTGAGATCTTTTTCCTTAGATTTTTTGTGGAGGTTTTGGCCCCTGATAGTTATTCTACCCTCATACAAGCATATATAAATTTAATGTTCTCTTTGAAAATGGTTACTGCTTTGCATTCCTTTGATATATTGTAATCCAAGGTGCATTTCCTTTGATATATTGTAATCCAAGGTGCATTTCCTTTGATATATTGTAATCCAAGGAGTCTTCAACCTTCAGCTGCTGTGACCGGTGGTGTAGGTTGTATCACGTTAAACTGAAAATTACAAAAAAATGAGATATATGACACAAAAAAACAAATGTTCCATATTTTTTTTTCCTGCACTGAGTTATTTGTTACATAGAGAGATGATATGGTGTCTGGGGAAGGAAAATAAGCTATTACCATCTGGATAAAGCAAATCAACAGATAAATAAGGACATTGGAAAATGGCGATAAAGCTAAAAAGTTTACACAAAATAACTTTGCAAAGGGGAGGCACAGAGTCTTGTCACCACTCATGGGTGTTCGAATGTGCCTGGCCTATGTGCCGCACGCCCGGAATGTTGTCCACTTATATAACCCCAATGCCCAAGTTTTCATCAGTGTGATTTCCGTGACACAACCGGATTCAAAGGGTTAAACCTGCATATAGAGCACCTTATTTACCATAAGCAGAGGAGATTTGATAGGAAATATTGTGGCAATAGGCTAAAAACATCTGCTACCTTAAAAAAATTATTAATAGTTTCATTATGCACTACAATAGCACACCACCACACCTTTACTTACATAAATCTGTATTTCTTTATCACATTTTCTTAGATCCATCTCTCTAAGCTCTCAGTTGCTTACAGTCAATTAAAATGAACCTGGGGAAGGTGTAACACTTCATTCTCAGTCACTAATAAATGCTGCATGAAAATCTGGGTTATGCAACAGAGGACAGGTTTGAGTCATACTAATTTAATTGATTTCAAACCTTATATCCTTTCTATAATGACTATTTCCCATTCTGAGTGGTTATAATAACTTTTATTCTGGCCACATTATCTCCATTATGCAATGAGTAAGTAAATAACTTTGAAAAAGTGAAATGAACATGTAAAAAAAATATCACATCATGAATTTTCAGTAGTAGGTCTAACTGGCTATATTTTCGTGAATTAAAGTATTCGTGAGACATTCTGAAATGTAAATTAGGATGCGACCCCTCCCAGTTAGGGCACACCTATTTAAAAAAGGCTACACAAAAGCAAAATCAATATCTAAATCTTACAAGCTCAATACAAAGATAATTCACTAATGCACCGTCTCAAATAGCGCCTCTTGAACTACCAAACATTGATAAATGGTTTGGGACACAAAACGTTAAGGGTAATTGGGTGTAAAGATTTAGGTATCGATTCCTGTGTTTTCCTTTTATTTCATTTGGGTGCCTCCTATGAACCCCGAACTCCAGTCATGTTCCTGAATCGCGAAACATGGTTTGATTAGGGTCAGCTTGGGCGGGATAGGCAACCTGTCTCCACCCCTCGCAATAACATACTTATAAAAAGTATTTATAATGATTATATAAATTATATTGATTAGATCACTTTAAAGTTTGAGATACAAATCAATTTAAAGGGCATCTTCCCAGTGAACCCTCTTCCCAGCTCACACTTGCTCACTCACGCCATGAAGTGCCGAGTCTAGCTTCACTCTACCCAAGGCTAAGGGAATATTCCCTCAGGCTTGACTCTACCTATTCTTCCACCTTTATTTGTCATTTCAGCGGCTGGTGTCCAACACCATGTCGATGTTCCCCCTCCAAAGTATTCAAGAAACCCATTACTTTCGATATCTCCTATTCTGTCCGTCTTTTACATATTCATTTCTTTATTTTTGGTAATGAATTGATTGAGAACATTTGGAAAATGTAATGGTGCATGAAATATTGTCATGAGTATTATTCTATTTTCCAAATAACACATCAAAAGTTTACCATTATCTAAATAGCGGATCCAGGTGATACAAGACGGAGTGAGAGAGAGAGCAGCTGCTTAGGATCATGCATAGCTATATATTAATATACAGTTCTGGATAATGCAAATGAAGGATATTTCCGTCTGACAAATATTAATATGAATAGTTCTAACAATGTTAAATAATTTTTATAGAGAAAATGTGATAGGGAATCAAAATAAAACTGTGATAAGATTTCATGATAATCATTTTCTTAATGATATATGCTAACTTATTTCTCAAGGCAGGTCCAAAATATTCATCAAATCAACAAAGTCAACAGGGACAAAAGCAATCCCTTGCTCTCTCTCCATATATATTTCAATCATGATAGCCTTTCTTTGCCTGATATCTGTAATTTCCCTTCTCACTTTCAAACCATCCTAACTATGTCCTGGTAGTTTGAACATGGGCCTCCTTTCAGGACAAGAAGGACATGATCTCTCCAAGCTAGGTCTGGCGAGGCGTCACAGCTTCTGTTGTTGGGTGTACAATCTGTACCTGTGCCTGAAGTACTTGTTCAAATAATGATTGATCTTCAATAAGGACAGGAGCATGTTTGAACTGATAATAACAGATTTAATAGAATGTTTTATTGTGTTAGACACAAGACACAAGGGATCTATAATTCTTCATCACCACCAGTGACCACAGCAAGATCTATGGAGCATTATTTTTATGAAAACAAAGACGAAAACTTGACTGGTTCACATTCTAAGCTTTGAAATCATCATTACTATTCTGTAGGCAAGGCACTAGCAATGTTGTAGTCTGTTCCAAGAGGTGAATTGTACATTATAGTAGTATCTAAATGCTTTGGTCACAATAAAAGAATATACATGTGTATATGTAAGTCCATTTAGGTCCACACAGGTCTAGTACTGGTACACCAGCATTCTGGGATTTAAGATCTGTACCTAATTGATTATAAAAAGGCACTGCACCAAATACAGTGTACCTGTAAACAGCTCTAGAAGTAACTTTGCTTTATATTGCAAATTTGTTACTCTAATACTGCTAAAGATCACTTCCCTGATGCATGTATTGATTATATCTTCACCAGAAATACATGCTGGCAATATCACAAAATATTATTTTATGGTTAATCTGTACAGTATGAACACACAAAGTTAGCCTAGGGCTAATCAAATATGAAATTCTTGTAGAGGACAAAAAGTAGCAGCCAAACTGTAGACACAAACTGAAATGCCACAAATAAAGAAAATGGTTATGGAATGCACCACTCTCAGCCGAAGTCCACTCAGTGCTACCGAGTTTCAACTCTATTTTACCATGCATACCCAGGTGAAGACAATGTTTTCTGGAAGGTGTCGGAGGGCGGAGCACCCGCATCAACCCTCCCCACGGGCAGTGCTGGACTTTGATTGATGAATAAATTTTTTGACGTGGAGTTGGGGACTTAGTCTCTGACGATTGTGTCCATACTGTAAAGAATTACCGATTTTATATTAAATGTTCAACTTCATCTACATATCCCACCAATGTATTCTTAACCTATCAACACCGGTATATTTTGAAGACAAAAATAAAAGATTCTGGCCGGCTACAAAATCGGCAGGTGGGGCTTCCCCGGAGTTTGTCCGCCCGCCGGCCCTGGCCCATTGCTGCGTCAGAGCGTGAGCCCCAGTATAGTGTCACACTGGCGGGACGCCTGGCAATGTTAAATTTTTCAGGTGTCTCATATGTGGGAGACCCATCATTATGGGGTTAATACTGTAGTGATAGACATCAGCTCAATGTTTGCTGATCATGGTGCTGAGATCATGTTCCAGTTCAAATCAATGAGCTGTACAGCAATGTCAAGGTTATTTGCAAATTGGCTTACTAATTTCATACCAAATCTTTCATCCTTTCATACAACATATTGATGAGTTTTTAGATGTTATAAATAGAACCACTGACTGCCTCAGAGAGGTTACTTTGTGGTAGTATGAGCTTGTGTCTGATATAAAATTGTTTCTTGCTGATACAAGAATTTTTGTTGGAAATAAGTTATTATCATTCACACATTTCTCTACTTAAGA